TTGAGAAAGAATTCATTTTAAAATACATACAACTCATATGGAAATTGTTTTCCACTATTCGAACTGAATGAGGAAGGTTGCACTTGTGGTGAAAGGAGACTTCCATTTCTTCACAATATACAAGATGTTTTTGAAATAAGTACATAAAATCAGCACAGTTTAACGAATATGCACATGATATCAGATTTATCCTGATCCTTTTGATCTACAAGGAATTTCATCTCGATTTTTTCAATATTTATTATGTTCTGGTTCCCACGAAAAAGGATATCCTGTAATGTTCGAGGACATCATGAGAACCAAGGGAAATAAGGTAGGGATTGGTGCTCTTCTTAGATTTCTGGAGGCTATATGCCTCAGGGAACACCTTCCTTGTCAATGTGTTCCAGAGCCTTGCTGTTCGTTGGATGAACAAGTCTTTGGAAAGAGATGTTCTGCAGGTCTCCAAAGTGACCACGAAGGGGTGCTAAGCCTCAACTCGACGGGTTAATCTCGCGGGGACTTCCAAGAGAGGAACAATTGTTGATATTTCAGAAGAGCATCGTCCATGAAAATATCTAATGAATAGAGCCAGATCGTCAACTTTTCTACGGTGTTCTAGAGAAATGAGTGAGTTTGTGAGCGAGGCATCACCCATGAGACGAATTACCATTTTTTTGGAAAGAATCCAACAGTTTCAGGGTTTGTTTGGGTGCTGCACTTCAAATATGGAAACAGTATTCCAGGACAGGTCGGATCTGTGACTTATAGATCATTAGCAGCTGACTGGAAGTGAAATAGCTCCTGGCCCGAAACAGAAAACCAATTGAGCTCACGTGACTTTCCCAAGAAAGATTATTGCTGTTAGCAATGCCAAGCATCGATGTGGATGTCTTCGAAGGTATGGTTACTCCTGACAAGGTCATATTGGGCACAGTGAGATCGGCTTTTCTAGAGAAAAGGCATGCTTGTGTTTCGTTTGCATTGAAATCCAAGTTATTGGATCCCCATTCGAGAATTGTTGCCGAGTCCATATTTATTTTGTCAACATTTCTCCTTCGTTCGTTTCTGATCTGCCTGGCTGGTATTGGAGCCCTGGAAGAGAAGGCGGTATGGAGGGTACTATCATCCGCGAAGCCGTATACTAGACATGAAGTTGCTTCCAACAAATCGTTGATATATATGGAGTATAAATTCAATAGTGTTGGTGCTAGAATTGATCCTTGCGGAACACCAGCATTTATGATAAGAGAGTGAGATGAAACTCCGTCGACCACTACATGGAGAGACCTGATGTTTGAGAGAAAACTAGCTAGCGAAGAACATAGCTATGGAGGCAAGCATTAGATGGAAGCTTGGCGACTTGATCGATTGCCTTGGAGATATCAAGTGCCACGACTAAAGTTTCACTATATTATTCAATAGATTGCTGCCATATATGTGAAACGTAAGCGAGCAGGTCACCAGTTGATCTCTCAGGACGAAAGCCATATTGCCTATCAATGATAATACCTGAATGTTCCAGGTACTTCATGAGTTCGATGTTGATGGCTTTCCCCATGATTTTTTAAATAATAGATAGCAGTGCGATCGGTCTGTAGTTGCTAGGTAGGTGCCTTTTTTAGGAACTGGTTGTACTCTTGCAATATTCTCAATTCAAATCAAATCAAATCAAAATATGCTTTATTGTCGGAAGATTGGTATCTTATTGACAAAGTCTTGTATAAAAAAAAACAAAATATCAGGTATGTATAAATATAAAACACTGTCACAAAACAATTAATAAATGGGTAAAATTAAATTAAATGAAATAAACATAAAATACATTCACATCTGCAGAAAAGTCAAGTAATAATTTCCAGGTTATCACAGTAGAATTCATTGATTGAATAATAAGCCTTTTCTATTAATATATCTTAGATCGAACTTCGGAACTTTTTGATATCTGTAATATTTTTTAGATTAGTAGGAAGGTGGTTGTATACTTTAATACTTTCATAAATCAGAGAATGTTTAGTCAAAGCAAATTTTGGAATGGGTAGATGAAGCATATGGTTCTGTCTAGTACTATGAACTTACATAGAACAGGTGTTAGTTCGGGAATACATTTCTTGAGAACAATCGGTGGGATTTCGTCGGAGCCACAAGCTTCATTGGTGTCGACACCCAGTAAAATCTTCCTTATAGTACGTTGGCGAAAGGTGATCTTGGGGAAATGACTGTCAATTGGCGTTTTGTTTGGAGGTTGTTTCCTTGATGAATCCAGGGTGTAATTCCCAGCGAATAAATGCGCAAGAATGTTGGCTTCCTCCTAGGCAGTTGTGGCTAGTGTTCCATCTTCCTTGGTTAGAGGAGGAAACGAGCTGGAAGTAAAGTTTCCAGCTGGTAAAAACATCATTGTTTTCGAGATTTTGAGCCTTTCACATGAAACATTGAATTCCTATATTTTTTCCTGTTATTATTGAAAAGTACAACATTTCACTAGGGTAGTCTAGATATTCTTGCAAAAATACGCGGAATCATACTGAACAGAATCTCGAATGAAAATATAATTTTAGAAGAAAAGAAGGTTATCTTTTTATTAATAATAATAATATTTTTTTTATTTATTTATTTATTTTATTTATTTATCTACACACAAATCCAATACAAAATTACAGAGTTTACAGGAATTATACATGTATAAATGTCACTCTCATAACACAAAAAAAATATATATAAAGAATTAGGTACAAGCTAAGAATTGTGTACAGAAATAGCACCTAAGTGACTTAACACTTGTGTTGTGCTACAGATCAATATCATTCAATTCACAATTGCAGTTGTTTGCAGAAAGCTAGAGCTAAATAGTGGTATGACATTGTGCAGATAGAATTATTGATGTTCCACTATTGCAATAAATTGAGAGTAATTTTCGAATATGAATTTCTTCGATTCTCTAGAAAATGCTTTATGATTTCTTATTTGTTTCATCTCTAAAGGTAAAATATTGCAAGTTTTAGGCAAAGTGTAAGTCAAGAAACGGTGACAAACACTTTTATTGTATTTTGGGGTGGGTAGCAATTTGTTTGTTGTGCTTCTAGTAGAATATGCTGTGGGAAAAGAATTATGAAGTATTTTATTTTTGAACGCATACATACATAGACTATGAAAATATAATGTTCTGATATTACTAATATCTTCTGTATATAGAAGGTTAGTATGAAAAGATCTCTGTTTTTTGAAAATTATTTTCAGAATATAATTTTGTATTGTATTTAATTTTTGTAGAGAATTTTTATACATTGCTCCCCACACCAAAATACCATATCGAAATAGTGATTCAGCTAGAGATTTATAAATTAATATAAGTAGTCTTTTCGATAAGAACTGTCGTAACTGGTAAAATTTATATATTAGCTTCCTCACTTTTTTTGTTAAATAATCAACATGATTGTTCCATCTGAGATTCCTGTCAATAATTATGCCCAAATATTTGATCTCGTTTGTTTCCTTGATTTCATCTTTCATACCTGGAACTTTAATACTGGAAAATGTTGGTCTATTTGTATCTATTATAGTGAGTGCGAGATAGTGGGTTTTACTAGCATTTAGTGAGAGACGATACATACTCAACCACTTATTAATCATTTCCATGCCTAACTGGACAGTATTTTTTGTTTCAGACCATGTATTTTCACTAAAAATTGCAACCGTATCATCGGCGTATGATATAATTTTTGCGTTCACTTCTAAACAGAGCAATGAATTTATATAGGCTTGAAAAAGTATTGGGCCAAGAACGGTTCCTTGAGGGACTCCCATTTTTACAGTCAAAGTTTCACTTATTGTATCATTGATTTTGACACACTGTTTGCGATCGGCTAAATAACTATGAAAGACATCCAACGCTGCACCACGAATACCAAGACGCTCCAATACATCAAGCAGTATTTCATGATCAACAGTGTCGAATGCCTTTGCCAAGTCTAGGAACACTGCAATACATTTTTTGTTTTCATCAAGTCTTTCAATAATACTTTTGATAACATTGTACATTGCGTCACTGGTAGCCATACCAGCACGAAACCCATATTGGTAATCGTGTATAGTTCCATTTTCATTAAAAAAGTTTACTATGCGAGCCTTTAGACATTTTTCAAAAATCTTACCGAAGCTGTTTATTACGCTGATAGGTCTGTAATTACTGATTTTAGTTTTGTCGCCAGCTTTATGTATTGGTGTAATTAGAGAAGACTTAAACTGAGTGGGAACATGTCCTTTTTGGATTATCAAATTATATAAATGTTCCAGTGGTCGCAAAATATATTGGTAACTATGTTTAATTGTTTCACTAGTTATTCCATCTACGCCAGGAGAAGTGTTATTTTTCAATGTAGATATATGTTCTATCAATTCATTTTTTGTTATTGGACTGAGAAATATGGAGTTGGGGTTTACTTTAATGTTTTCCTTAATTTTAGCTGGAGTATCAATACCTTTAACCATGTTCAAGCCCACGTTACTAAAATAATTATTACAATGATTTGCCATTAATTTGTTGTCATTAAATACTACATAATAATAAGTTCTTTATTTTCTCAAATTAGTTTGCACACCAACAGCGTGGTAATACAAATAAAAAAGAGTAAAACGTCAGTAAAAAAATTCAAAAATATACATTCATGTAGCATTAAGAATTAAAAATATATAGATAAAATGACAAATATAAATAAATAAAACTGGATATAAATATAGAAACATCACATATACATCACATTATCAACATTATCTACTGTGGAAGTAAGTATTCAAATTTGATTGTTTCAATCAGTTCTAATAGTAACTTGAAACTCAAAATTGAGTGGAGCTCCCGTCACTATCCAAGCATCCAAGTCATTATTGATGATTTGAATTGTCTCCCTAGAATACAAGGTGAAGCCGTTTTCCAGAAACAAACTCCACATGTATGACCTGCACCATGAATGAAGGTACAGAATGTGATGTGTGTTATAGTTTTCAGCACCGCTCCTCACCCCTACATGGAATCGTTATTGGCGAAAACCTTGGTAGGGCAACCATCCTACCATAGTCAACGTAAACCAGGCAGGTCCGGATCTATCCCATTTCCTCTGCCCAGGAACAGGACCACCATAAGCAAAGAGCAAGCCCAAGCGTTACAGGCAGCTTTTGACAAAAATCCGTACTACACCAAGGGTGATTTGGAGCAGACTACTAGATTGCCTGAAAGGGTGATCAAGATCTGGTTCCAGAATAGAAGACGTGAGAACAAGATGAAGAACTTGATGAGTTCACAAAGCAATGAATAAGTGTTCGCGCGATCTTGAGATGATTTTTGTGTGTGTTCAAATTGATTTTTATTATATCTTGTCTCACTTCTACTTGTCGATTACCTTACAATACAGCGTTGGGCATGTGCGTGGAAGCACCTGATTTCTGACTGAAGCAGTGGTAATACATTATTTCTACCACTGGCTGTAGAACCTATCATTATTTATATACTCCTTCACAAGGCGTCATATTTACAACAATATTATAGCTATCAGGAGTCTTGATAGAGAAAAAAAAATCTTCTGCTTCGGTCAGAAATTAGGTGTTTCCAAACATATGCCCAAGCCTGTATAACACAAAATTTAGGTTAAATATATATTCATAAAGATGATAGTACTTATCATTTATTTCTTTTCAAAAAACATAATTATCATCGTTCAAATATGAAATAACATGAAGACAATAGAACGAATTCGCCTAGGGCCGTTACCACCTATACAACAAGGCCAGCAGACTCTGACGTAAACAGCTCGTGACGTCACCAAGAGAGGCCAATGTTTCATTTTATCGCTTGTCGACTAACGCGTCAGTTCGTGTTAATTCATCGGTGATTCACATACGTTTTTGAAACGGTCCCGAATTCTTTTGTTGTTTATTCATCAAAATAATTGGCGGAAAAATTACTGTTTTGTGAAATATTTTGTGTTGTGATCGGCGAAATAACAATGCCTTCCAAGTGTTGTGTTCCCTTTTGTCGGGGGAATTATGTGGGTGGTTCAAAAGTTCATGCTTTTAGTTTCCCGTTGGACGAGGAGCTATCGAAAATGTGGGTATATGCAATTCACCGCGAAGATTTTACTCCATCTAAGTTCAGTAGTAAACAGAGCTCAATTTATAATGATGAATTAATAATAGAAGACAATTACTCTCTCATAAAAAGTATAAGTAGAGGAAAAATAGAAAAGCTTTGATTGTGCAGTTAGTTTTGTATATTATAGTCAACAAAATCATCTCTGAATTCGAGGAAATTTTCTCGAATGTTCATAATAAACGGGCATTTTCAATTCTCATTCTCAAATTTCTTTCTGGAAACGGTCATTTGTCTCGTGGCAATGAATGCAGAATTCATTCCAATGATCAAATTGTACCTATCATATTAACATGAACTACAAACACTCTACTTGAAAAGGTAAAACTGCATTTATTATGATATTCATCATGAAGATATTTGACTAAAAAGTTCCAAATTTCACCTTCTTTTTCACCTGTCTTCTGGATGGCATTTAGAACAAATTTCCCTTCTATTTTCATCATATTGGACAATTTATATATAATTCAACTATAAATATGATTTTCTTGAGATTAATCCATATTTAGTGAAAAGAAGGAAGAATATCATTCAAAATAATGGCGTGTGTAATGTCATTCGAAAGCAATCTATTGACATTTGACATCTCGTATTTTGATTGACTATTGATTAAATGGTCGTCATCTGGAATGCTTGTTCACTAAATATGAAAAACTCGCCATAAAAATCATATTTCCTGTTGAATTTTCTATACAAAAATGTGCCATCGGAGTACATCATGAGTATATAAAGTGTTCAATGACAAAATAAGAGCAAGTAGCTTCAAATGCCCCCAACACAAGGGGAGAAAGAAGGCGAAATTTCGAACTTTTTCTTGAAATATCTCAATAAATAGTGGTTTGTTCACATTTTCATTATAAAATTCGGTTAATCAAAAATACGTGAGTACCGAAAAAAATTTTCAAACAAAAAATCCATCGCATGATAAATGCAGTTTCACCCTTAAAAATTACGGTTTCAAGTATAACGATCCCGAGAACGATCCACTTGGGTGAAAAATCCAACAACAAAAAATTGAGAACACTCACTGGTTATTTTTTCAGGTAATAGGAATTCTCCAAGATAAATATAGGTAATTGTAACAAACGGCATGTCAATCAGAATAAAATACATTTTCCACAATTTTCTTCCGATCAATCTCACGATAAGTTTATGTTCTGCGGGCCCTGTATAAGTAGGTGTGGAGTTAACCTTCACCACAATTTTTGCCAATATATTTAATTCGAATGGGTTGCTGTAGGTGGATATTTGTGTTTTATCCTGGTTTTTGCTTTAAAACTTCGTTTTTCCATAATAAAATCGAATGAGGTGCGAAGAAGGGTTCAGTTGACGACTGGCATCCTTTTTTAACCGGAAGCCCTTCAAAAAACAGCAAAATCGGCTCAATGATGATCTAAAACTAAAATCGAAATACGCGGTCGCCTTATAGCGCTATAAGCGCTTGTCGTTTCGAGCCGCTGGTTAGGCCTCACTAAGTGACGTCACCCACGAAGCATGCAGGCCTTGTTGTAGCCTGCCAAACTTCACCAGCGGCTTTAATGACCAAAAATTGAAAGAAATGAGTTTCTCTGAACATGATTCGAGGAATATCTGCTGAAGGATCTACGGGCTCCTGAAAGTGGGCTTCAGAAGATGATAATTCTTGGAGATATCCGAAACGCCTTGTGATGAAATGATGTAATTCGGCATAAGAACTAAACTTTCATGCCCAATGCAGTGAAATGACAGATATTAAAGTCATTGAACATTGGAAAATTGAGTATCATCTCAGCATTCTTCGATCCAACTCGACCATCATCAAAATTATATTCCCAATGCCTGAGGAAGTATTCCCAAGAACTTATAATCTGCAAAAGTTCAAGACAAAATCCAACACCTACCTCCTCTCCCTATCCTTCCAAGGTACCCACGATGTTCTTCAAACATCATAGGGATTCCCTTCCGTGCCATCAACCGATCAAAAAAAGTGGTGGTAGGAACAATCCTGATTAAATATAGCAAGTTCCGAAATTGAGTTAACAAATCAAGTTTGTAACTAATTTGGAATTTGCGAAACGCAAAATACCAGGATCATTGTAGTTATGACTTTTCATCTTGTATAATATGTATTTTATTTCAGTTCACCTCATAGATCCTGCACATCAAAGATTTTTCTGCAAGCGTTGCGAAAAGAGCTATAAACACAGAAGACATTTGTCGAGTCACATCAAGTATGAGTGTGGAAAAGACCCAATGTTTGAATGCGTGCGTTGTTCGAAAAAGTTCTACCAGAAGTACACCCTGAATGCTCACTTACGTCAATTTCATTTATGTCCCATATAATGTAGACTTCTCATATATGTGATGAAGAATAAATGAGATATAGATTTTTTAGGAATTGGTAGATTCATTTTACGAATAATATATTGTTTGAACAACGTTGGAAGGTGTGTTTTATTTCCACCTTCAGTTATTTTGTTTTGTACATCACCCAACAGTTATCCATTCACTGGATGGGAGAATTATAGGTACAAAAAATGTATGAATTGATCGAGTGAGAAATACTTTCGAAAACTGATTTTGTCAACGAAGCAATGCTGCGAGGGAAAATATCTCTCTCATTGATGTAATAAATTGTAATTGCTGCAAATTCTGTATGAAGGTATACGACAAATAACAAAGTCTTTTCTGAATTCCAATTATCAATGAAAACTCTGGAATACAGTCACCCATTATACAAATCAATTTATTCATTATGACAGAAGTGTCATATTGCTCTTCGAGATAGAAAATACGTCACTCCACCTGACGGCAACAAGTTGAACACTTCTGGGTGGTTTGTTTTGAAGGATGTGACCAATAATCAGAAATAAAAAACAAATGTGAACCAACGAAAAGAAAATAAATAGATCGCTTTGACAGTTTTCATAAACTCCGATAGGTGGCGAACGCTTATTTTCTATCGCGAATTACCCATGGAAAACTATACATACCTTTGTTATGCATATTGATTTGGATCGAGAGATATATTGTTTGAAAAGCAATTGCAAGAATGAAGCATTCAATAATAATAATTCAAGATGACTGATAAAGCGATCCCGAAAATTTGATGGAATTCTTCATGGGCATGATCAGAACTTGGAAGAGAAGTCTTCATAACGAACCTCTGATGGTGCTGTGAGCGGCAGTGCTTATAGTTACTGTGATGGTATATTGGAATAAGTGGCCCTAGTTATATAAGTACCATGGGTAAAATCAATAACGGCATATTCGAGGCTTCGAGGTAAGATACAATGGACTAAGGTCAACTTACATATTGGGACTGAAATTGTTATATGCGTCATTCGTTTGCACCCTCACAAGCAACACTCAGAAGTCTTCAAGTTACTTGTGCGAGCAAGGCCACCATAAAAATGGCCGCAGTCGTTTGGATTTCAATCCACGACCGGCAAGCCATCGCGATTAGAAAACTTGATGGCCCACAATCATGAAGGGAATAGTCGTTTGTGGTGTCCATGCAAGATTTCCACCATGAAGTCATGAACGATATGGCTGACTGCACTTTTGAACTGACACCATCATTTCTATCGAGCGCTTGAGATAATGTTTTTGAATGTAAAGTGAGCGATGAGCGCAGCATCTTGTGCTCTGTTCACACATTCTTTCCTGCTGTCATCTTCCAGAAGCCAGACACATCCCATTATTTTTTTCTGCAACATCTCAACTACTTATTATTATTTTACATTTGATTTTAATCTTCCTTTGTAGGAGTATTGGTTTATTCCTGCAGCAATTGCCTAAAGTATTACAGACATAAACAATCATTGCATCGACACAAAAAGTTCGAATGTGGAAAGATGGCCAATTTCAAATGTGAAGTCTCAGGATGTACTTTCCAGGCGAAAATCAAATCTAACTTGAAACAACATATGATAAGACATTTTTCCAGAAGCCTCCAATGAAAGGAAATTATGAATCTACTTGTAAATAATTGAACATATTATATTATTTTACGTTTGAAATTTCGTTGCTTCTTCTACTTTCCACGCGAATCCTACGAGATAGTGATAAGAATTGAACATTGATATCTCAGATATATAATGAACATGAAAAAAATAGATATTTAAATATATAAATGAAACTTGGTAGTGGGGAAGCAGCACAGTAAAAGTGAAACTCATGCAAATTTGTCCAAGCTTTCGGAAAGTTATATCTCCATCATCAGGGCCAGACTACAAAATGTTATAAAAATTATAAGCAAAGCTAGTTAAATGAGGAGTGCCGTACTTACAACTCATTGAGGTTGGTTACATTGATGTTACTAAAACGGTATATATATATTAAAAAAAAATTTGTATAACATATCTGGAACATGACAAATTCAAAAAATTAAAAGATTTGGTCAATATCAAAAACGTTGATGATTCAAAATCATGATGAGGTCTAATTGATCATTAAATAAAATGTAAAAATTTTTTAGTTTGTTGATTTCTAATGATTCAAAATGATTGAGTTTCAGTCCGTTATTTTCTACGTGCAGAATTTCGAAATTATCATCAAAACTATGGTTTTCTTCTAATATATGGTTGGCGTATGTTGAATATGTTTTCTTTTTCATAAAATCCATCGATATATACCTCAGGACAAGATCCACATTTGAGTTTGTATACCCTTGATTCTTCGAATTTAGAAGTTTTGTCTTTATTAGTCTTGGTAAACCGTCCCGGTGGGAATTTGTTTTCTTAGTAAGTAATAATATGTATTTGCTATCAACTCTTTCAAGTTTATCCGGTTTACCGTAATTTAATGTAGATATTGTGCCTAATTTCAGAAAATGGAGGTTTATCGTACCTGGCCACAGGTAACTTATCCTTCAGGTTGGGAAAGTAAGATATATAAAAGTTAAGCAAGCCAACGTTAGTTTAGTTCATTGTGCCAGTATATCACCTGACGAAGCTACTATGTTAGCGAAACATGTCGTGTGTTTGGGAATTTTGTGGAAATCTTATCGTTTGTGAGGTTTTTAAATTAATCAGAATGATGTTCCTGGAACAACTGAATTTTAGTGCCCGTTACAAGTTTTTCTTCCGTGTTGACAAGAAAACTATCTTTCGAAAATGGATGTCATAGACTCTCCTCATTTCCAGGTTGAACAAAATGAACATATCGAATATTTTTCATCAAATTAACATGAAAATAAAATACAGAGTGATTACCTACACAAACTTTCCAGTTCCAAATAACAAACCCATATTTAATTAGCATTTTCAGTCACAGTCACTATGGGTCAAGAAACCATCACCTACAATCAATATTAATAGAAATATATGTGATAGTCACATAGTGAGGCAACCAAATCTACGTATTTTTCACATTAATATAGTCTAGATATTCATGGTGTAATTCCGGAAGCACTATATTCCTCAAAATTTCTCATATGGGTTTGTTTGCGTTGAATAAATTGTATAGTAGCTGCTATGAGGTTTTCATGATGTTTTCGTTCATCATTTAAAAAATTGAGTGAATTTTTGATCATATTCCAGGTAAGGTATTGTGAATCCCACTCAAATTTTGATTTCCCATGAGTAAATTACACTTTCGGGTAAAAAACTTAAGTTTCCGTTACCTTTATGTAGAACATCATGATGACGAGTCTCAAAAGTTATGGTCGAATTCATGCCATTGGAAGCCATATCTATTTTCAGTTTCGTTTCAGCAAAATACTGGATTTCAACATGATTTCTGGAAAAAAGCTGTATTTTGTTGGCGCATTCTGAATTTCGAGACAAAATCGTCATTTTGTTGAAAATTGAGTCACAAGTTACTGTGGAAATTCCAGCTACATTGGTAAACCATAATATTCATTTGTAATTTGTATCCCAATTTGATTGAAGCTATACGTATAATAACTATACGTACTTATCAATCATATCAGGAACTATCGAAATTGCTTTTGATTGATCACTCAGTCCTATTTTTGTAGGTTCATTGTTCACTTGTGAAAAATGCAATAAATCCTACACTAAGAAGACCTCTTTGTATTACCATCGAAAACGATACTGTGGAAAAGCTCCTACCAACTTTTGCCTTGAGGATGGTTGCTCTTATAAATCGCATATTATGACTAACCTCAAACGACACAGCATTACTCGACATAACTTCAGGAAATAAAAATCTCTAAAAGGTATAGTTTGTAGAGTATAGACTCATAAGGTGTAGCTACCTGAATGATATTCAAGTATGAAAATCATCAAATGTACCGATTAACAAAATACACCATGTTACATGTTTCATCGTTTCAGAATCATCATATTGCTGTTCATATTCTCCATAAACGAGTATCAATAATTTCGGTCAGTAGACTTTGATCTTATGTAGAAGTCCATAGTTTTCTCTAGGTGGAGTGGGGAACATGTTTCAGACAGTCATGTGTCCATCATCAGCCTTAATCCTCACAAACCAAAGGTCCTATGATATGATACAAGTTAATCTAGAAAAATATATGAAATAGAGAATTCACTCACGTGGAAATGAATAAAACACAATATAAAAAAACTTTGAACAAAATTATTGTGCAAATAAGCACCGGTTAAAGGTGGCAAAACCCATTTTTGGAAAAAACCGAAGAAATGGTGGAGTCAAATAATTACTCAAAACAAACCCTTCATCATCAGATGATAGAGGACAAGTGGCGTTTTTAGCAAACCACAAAACGCATAACGCAATTTCTGTGAAGAATTTAGTACCTACATTTTCACTTAATTTCGATGTCGATGGCAGTTAATCATTACGTTACTGTGGTAGTTCCGGCTACGTTGATAAACAATATTCATTCGTAATTCTTTCCCCATTTCGATTATAACTACGTCATAACTACATATCAATTATCAATCAGGAACTATCATAATTGCTCTTGATCGAGCACTCATTTCTATTTTTTGTAGGTTCAGTATTTACTTGTGAAAAATGCAATAAATCCTACACTAAGAAGAAATCCTTGTATTACCATCTAAGACGATACTGTGGAAAAGCTCCAACCTACTTTTGCCCTGAGGATGGTTGCTCTTATAAATCACATATTATAACTAACCTCAAAAGACACCGCATTACTCAACACATTCTCTTGCAATAAAAATATTTAAAAGGTATAGTTTGTTCAGACTCATTAGGTGTACTTGAATGATATTCAAGAACAAAAATCAGAAAATATTCGGATCAACAAAATATATCATGTTACATGGTGTCTCCTTTCACTTCACCCTGATCAACTTTATTTCATCTTATTCCTTCAATTCTTCATTTCACCTCACTTCTTTATTACTTCAATCACTTCAAAAAGTTCACTTCATTCTACTCCAACTCACTTTATTCCACTTTACACCACCATAGATTAACGGAGTCGTTAATCTATGACTCCACTTTACTTCACTCGACACCAATGTAATATACAGGGTGTCCGCTAAGAGGAGGTTAATCCATTAACCACATATTCCTTGAACAAAAACAATATGAGTTTCTAAATATCATTTTTCATTTTAGCCCTTCATATTCGGTATACAGGGTGTCAAAGTTGGAAATTAAAAACTGTTTTTTTCTAATTACTCGCGTATTTGATAAGATATTAATCTCAAAATTGGTACATTACTTCAGCACAAAGAGTTACATCGTGTGAGGAAAACAAAACAGAAAATAACTGTCAAATATTCAAGATACTGGGAGTCAAGTTCACACTTACCCCCATATTTTGTTTGTACGTGCGCTAATGACTTCCTATCTATTCTCCTTCAAGTGTTCAATCATTTTTGAGTATTTTTTGTTTCCTGTAAAATTTCGATTGAATCATTTGTTTTTAAGATAATTCGAAAAGTACTGGTTATTGTTTGATGCCTATACAGGGTCGCTGATTTGTATGGAAACATGTGAATATCTCGGTAACCAGTCGTTGGATTTTTTTGAATTTATGTGCAGTGTGATTTCAAAATGTGGCGGATTTGAAAGTGTTATAGCCAATGTTGCCACTTTTTCAGTTATTCCGGAATTTTATTAACTTCCTCATTTTGAATAAAACACCCTGTACTTTATTGGATTTTCAGATACTCCTTGAAGAGCTGATTCCATCGATCTATCACACTTGGGGTCTAGCGGGAATGATTACATAGGTATAGGGTGTTTAAAATCTAGATTTTTCAACTTCAGGATTTTTTGTATCGAAACCATCCATTATCGATCAAAACCGCTCTAAAATTCCTATCTTTACTTTTGATTTACCATCTACTAACATTTAAATGGAACAGATACAGAGGGTGATCAGAATTCTGAATCTTGAACCACCCTGTATTTGTTCCAATTAAATGTCAGTAAATTGTAAATCAAAAGAAAATATAGGAACATTGGAGCGGTTTCGATCGATAATGGATAGTTTCGACACAAAAAATCCTAGAGTAGAGAAATCTAGATTTTAAACACCCTATACCTATGTAATCATTCCCGCTAGACCCCCAAGTGATAGATCGATGGAATCAGCTCTTCAAGGAGAATCTGAAAATTCAATAAAGTTCTGGGTGTTTCATTCAAAATAAGGAAGTTAATAAAAAATCCGGAATAACTGAAAAAGTGGCAACATTGGCTATAACATTTCCAAATCTGCCACGTTTTGAAATCACACTGTACATAAATTCAAAAAAATCCAACAACATGTTACTAAGATATTCACCTGTTTCCATACATATCAGCGACCCTGTATATGCGGCTTAGGTAATTTCATAATGTTCACATACTCCTATTTATTTCGTCGAAATTGAAAGAGGGCGTATCTTTTTACGTACGAAAAGGTAAATATGGAAATACCGGGTGCTCGGAGCAAATGTAAGAACATAATTTTTACAAAAAAAAAAAATTTAAAAAGTGTAAAAATTATTTTAATACATTCGCTCTGAGCACCCGGTATTTCCATATTCACCTTTCCGTACGTAATAAGATACGCCCTCTTCCAATTTCGACGAAATAAATAGGAGTATGTGAACATTATGAGATTACCGTAAGCCGCAAGGCATCAAACAATAACCAGTACTTTTCGAATTATCTAAAAAACAAATAATTTTATCGGAATTTTACAAAAATCAAAAAATACTCAAAAATGATTGAACACATGAAGAAAAATAGATAGGAAGTCATTAGCGCACGTACAAAAAAAATATGGGGGTAAGTGTGTACTTGACCCCCAGTATTTTGAGTATTTGACAGTTATTTTATGTTTTGTTTTCCTCACACGATGTAACTCTTTGTGCTGAAGTAATGTACCTATTTTGAGATTGATATCTTATTAATAACGCGAGTAATTAGAAAAAAACAGTTTTTAATTTTCAACTTTGACACCCTGTATATCGAATAAGAAGGGCTAAAATGAAAAATGGTATTGAGAAACTCATATTATTTTTGTTCAAGGAATATATGGTTAATGGATTGACCTCCTTTTAGCGGACACCCTGTATTTCACATCACTTCAATTCACTTTACTTGACTTTACTTCTCTTCAGTGTACTTCACTCCACTTCTCCTTTATTCTCTTTACTTTACTTCACTTCAGTTTATATCACTTCAGTTCCTCTGAGATTCTTCGACCTTTGTCCATAAAATTATTTATTCAGATCCATTATCTCAATGAAACGTCGCTTGAAAGACTTCAATTTTGAATAAAAAATATAGCACAATTATCACTTCCTGGCATTTTTTGTTAGTTGATGGAAAATGTCACAGTCTTCTTCATATGGAAATAGTTATTTATTATACAAGGGAAAAAAGTAGTAGATTTTAGCTCCAGGTTATGTTATCTCCCGACTCGTAGGGGAGGCAGACAAAAAACCGTGAGCTAAAATGTAATATTTTCCCCGTGTATAATACACTATTTTTCTCTGTGACAGAAGAAAGGACGAATCGATATTGAGAAGATATTACATTATTTTGAAATCTGAAACAGTAGGGACACCTGTGCGTTGTAGGCATCTTTATCATTCTTTTGAAGTAATCAAATATCTGATGTCACTTCTGTCAGTCTAATTCTGTGATTTGATTTCGAAAAATTGCGAAGTTAGTGGTGTTTAGTAATATACGAAACCGCGAAGTCGAATGGAAGATAAAAGGACTTGCAGTTCTTTTTCGGATACGATATTATTGACTAATTTTTCGGAACTATAGCACAACGAAAGCCATCAACAGTGTATATATGTGTGATATACAGGGTGTTTCAAAAAAACCTGACCCTCTTACTAGGGTAGGTAGAACACTGCAAAATAAGTTGAGTTTACTCAGTAAAAGCATTTCGTAACTGCATCCGTTATCAAGATACAAGGTGTTGAAAAAATGATTTTTTTACACATTTTTCACGATTATGTCGAAACTACTGGCAACATTGTAATGAAATTTTGTATGGATGTTTCTTGAAATCTGACACATCGCATGAATTTGTTTTTATATTCGACTCTCATAGAGGGCGCTAGTTACACGGTTCGTACCGAGTAGTTTTGAACATTACTTTTTTGAGGTTAGATTTTTCAATCCAAATTTGATTGAGTGAGTATTATGAAAAATTATCACCTATTTATTGAAAACCGAAAACAACAATACATTTCTGATGCTGAACTTATTGATTTAACAATGAATCACAAGAATAACATCGAAACAGATTTGACTAAGAACATGGATTACACAGTTTTGTTGAATCTTGAGCAGAAAGTCTATGATACATAGGTAAATTCACGTCAAGAGTAGTAAGACATAATTGAACATCACTTAAATGACCTAACAGCTGATCCTCAACTGTTAAGAAGAATAATACATTCTTAAGAAAAGAATTTATAGAATCGTGTGTTCGTCGAAACGTAGGACATTTTGAACACTTACTCTAACTGATTCAATATTTCATGTTTTCAGTCAAATATCTCCATAATTTTCTACTTATGATTCTTTGTTCCATCAATAACTTCAGCACAAGAATAATTTTATTGTTTTTGAATCTGAATAAATAGGTAATTGCACTCAATAAAATTAATTTAATACCAGCATCATAACTACTCCAGTATTTTCAAATAGAAATATTCCGAAAACGGAACATAGTATCGAGTTTTACCAAGAGTAACTTTTTGGTGTAAAATTGAATGATGTTCATGTTCATATCATATTTGGCTAGAAAAATCTAATCTCAAAAAAGTTATGTTCAAAACTACTCGGTACGAACCGTGTAACTAGCGCCCTCTATGAGAGTCGAATATAAAAACAAATTCATGCAATGTGTCAGATTTCAAGAAACATCCATACAAAGTTTCATTACAATGTTGCCAGTATTTTCGACATAATCGTGAAAAATGTGTGAAAACATCATTTTTTCAACACCTTGTATCATGAAAACGGATGCCGTTACGACATTTTTTCACTGAGCAAACCCAACTTATTTTGCAGTGTTCTACCTACCCTAGCAAGGGGGTCAGCTTTTTTTGAAACACCCTGTATGTCCGGGAAAAGAGTACTCACTTTTTTCCTACAGGAAAAAAGCAATTTATGAAAAGTAACATTTTATTACTTGCCAACAGAGATGAAATGCCAAACTTTTTTCCCGTCACAGAAAAAATGTATTTTGTATTATTTGTAGCCTCTCATTTTGTGGAATGATATTCATCAGATGAAGATATGTTTTATACATTCATATTGATTTTTAGGACGTAGAAAGGAATCCGCAGTACGTGTATCATCGAACAATAAAAATAAGAAAAAGACCGCAGGAAGAAACAGCAAAAATATTACAGCAGATAATAAAAAGTCATCTGCTAAAAAACCTAAGGATGAAGGTAATGATAGAAATCTTGATATACGTCCTAAGAAGAAGAAAATAACTTACAAAAAATCCTTCTACGTGAGAAATGGCATACAGTTGAAAATAACCAGATGCATCAAATGTGGTAGTTTCCTCACGAAAGATCGATCTGAATGCAAGCGTTGTGAATTGAATGTAGCCATGAGAATTCTTGCCAAACAAGGCTTTTCCGTTATAAAAAAACAAAAATCGAACGTCCAGAAAAATGCTGATACTTCAATTGAAAAGGAGAAACAAAAGTGCAAAGCTCCGAAAAAATCCGAAATGCCATCAAGAAAACCAGCAGGAAATGCTGCTGTTGAAAAACGCAAACTAGTCACCACAAGGGGTCTGGAGACTTCAGGTGCTTCATCTCAATCGATTGCATCATTGAAGAAGTCTGGATCCAAAACCAAGCCTTTGCCTGCATCATTGAAGAAGTCTGGATCCAAAACCAAGCCTTTGCCTGCATCATTGAAGAAGTTTGGATCCAAAACCAAGCCATTGACTGCATCATCAAAGAAGTCTGGATCCAGAACCAAGAAAGTGGCTGTGTCAAGAAAAACTGCAACTAAACGAGGAAAAGTTGTGAGAGGAAAACGAGTATCCATCAAGCGAAGCAAACCACCCACTCCACTGAAACATGTGAATCTTCTTGACATTGGCGATATCATGAACGAAATTGTACCAGAGAAAGTTTGTGATGAAAATAGACTTGAATATCAAGAGAAAGTGGAGGAGAGTACTGAAGTAGTTCTCCATTATGAAGAGGATGTTCAGCATGTTTCATTCAATGACCTTATCAATATAATTGACGACTAGACCCCGAAATGTCCTGGAAAATGAGTATTTGATGTTTATTTTTTCATTTGCAGTTTTTTTCATATGATTATTAAATTTTTGGGATCACTACCCGCCTAATGATTTCCAGAATCGATGAAAGAAACGCCAAATCTCAGAATTGCTCCTCAGGATTAGTATTTATTGTTTGTTCGATTGATTCACATATTGAAAAATGGTGGCAGGCTGATGGGCACTGTTTATCGATACTTAGGTAATTTATTTTCGTTTTTCGCCCTCATTCACCTAAAACCTGGAATACTCAATGCCCAAAATTATTTTTATATCGATTCAAATTCCAAAATATCGGCTGATGCCAATTGCATTTTTGAATGCATCATCAAAATTGCTATACACAAGTGTTACTTGTTTCACGTATTTGACTCCACGGATGCCATCAAGTTATTCTATTTTTTCCGTGAAAAACTGATTTTGTAGATTAGTGTGATTGTGATTTCCATCTGGATATTCTAACAAAATGAATTCACACAAGTGGAGACCAAGATGTGTTCCATTCGATCTTACAAAATCAGTTCGAAATATTGAAAACTTTATCAATGATATATAGACGGAACAACTTGACGAAATTAAAGATGCCAAGCCTTCATTATTGAAAATGGAACACCCTATATTGTTTTTCAATTCAACGGTTTCAGATTCAAATTACTTCGAATTTCCATCATTATATCTTTATATTGCCGTTTTCGATATCAATCAATATTTAGCAAATAATCAATCGTTTGTGAAGTTCTTACAAATAATTAACCAACAGACAGTATTTGAATAGTTGCTAATTTGATGAAAAATAAATATTCAAATCTAACATAATTGAATACGTATCTTTCGAGGTGTTTTTCATAATTTGGCAATGCATAAGAATGCGAATGAGATAAATATACAGATGTAATATGAAAACAGGTTGTACAAATTGAGATAATGAAATTTTTGCATTTTCAATTCCGTCAAGTATCTCCATCTATCATTGCCAGAGTGTTCAATATTCTCGACTCATTTTTAAAGAACGAATGGAACACATTTTGGACACCATTCGTGTGAATTCATTTCGTTCCAATGTGCAAATGAAAACCACATTATTTTTCTCACAAAATCAGTTTTTCAAGAAGAAAGTTGAATAACTTGGTAACCATGGAGTCAAATACAGAAATCAGGAAACAGTCGTGGAGGTACCAATTCTGACGGTGCATACGTAAATGCGATTGAAAACTGGGTGTCTCATTTGAAAGAACTCATCATGAGCCGATATTTTGAAATTCGACCTCCCTATAGATATGAAAATATAGTTCAAGCTGACTGAGGGTCTATTGTAACGAATAACGAAAAGAAAAAAAAAGCACAAGTCTCTATTTATCGGAGGATAGAGTGTTGGTTTTTTTCAACCCCTCACCTGCCGGACATCCCGATCAATTTTTTAATGATGTTACGACCGTACAATAAGGTAGGAGATATTGGTATTTTAATCGGACAATAAAATTTGTTGTCATCTCTCCGTCTACTAATATTTTGAATGTAATGATGAAAATAACAGCAGCTCCATATAACTAAAACCAAGCATGATTTTTTGAGACCATGGAAAACGAACCATTTCTTGATTAACATTTTTTAGAAACAGAGTTGGTCTTAGCGACTTCACTCAGCGCCCTACGAGCTAAGTAACGTGCATCGATATAGGTTTTAAATCTGAACTTCAGATTGTTGATATCTCGAAAACGATCACCTCCACCGTTGTTGAGAAAGTGTAGCCCTCAACTAGTATCGTGTTCTCCCGAATATTCCACCCATTTCAAAATCCAATTTTTGATCAAATGTTCATAATCGAGAACATGATGTTTTCGTTTTTGTATTTCGGCTGTTGATTGGCAACTGCATACCTACATGGTTGTGTTTTCGATTTTTTATTTCGATTGCTCATTGATAGTTTGATCAAATATAGAACAAAATGACATGAAAATAGCAGGTTGTCATGGACATGGATGTAATAATATTTTCAAGGATAAATAGCACTCAACACTAAACTTCAGACAAAATGGTGATAGACACTGAATATTAATTTGTATCGAAAAATTTCTGATTGATCGGCATTTTGAACACAATTCCTATATTAACCTAACCTCTCACAACTTGACACTAGCATCTAGGGACAGAACGCATTGGATATTTCGAGCGATTCCGTCCAATGACGAGACGAGACGCGCGACAATATTTGGTGCGTCCTGTCTCTAGTTGCTTGTCAAACTACTAGATAGCAATCGATGTATCGGCACGTATAGTTAGATGCATTATGACTGCGAATGAAAATACGAAATGAATTATTTTTTTGATGAAATAATGAGTGAAATAATCCTAACAATTAAACCTTTCACTATCGGTTCATTGATTATTATCCATAATCCCTACTATTTTTCGAAATACCGTGGAGTATTCAAACATCCCATTTTGTAAGACTCGTTACTTTGTCGAAAATGTTGGAATTACGTGGAAATATCTGTTATCCACAAAAAAACTTGTTTCATATTTGAATCAACAGAAAAAAACCTTATTCATAGGACAGCAAATTGAAAATTGAAAAACCGATATTCTATGAAGGCTATAAATACACTTAAAATGTCGTATGAATAGTAGTCGCAATCGCAAGCTTGTCCTTCATATCCCGCTATTACCGCCTGATGTGATAAAAAAAGCCTTATAGAGCAAAAATATGACAAGGGTATAATTCGCACACCCCAATCAATCTTCATTTCCGAAACTGGTTGATTATTGTGAAAAAAATACCACGATTTTCTATATGAAGAAACAAATCACCAAGTTAACTAAAAGTATATATATATATTATTATCTCAAAATTATCTGTTGGGGGGTACCAAAACAACTCACGATACCAGTTGATTGGTAGATATTATTTTCATGAAAAAAACGTGTGTAAATGAGGATTTTCCAGAAAAACTGCCAAAAGTTTAATGTCAAAAACGTTAGGGGCAGTTTAAATGAATAATGTGATTTTGAAAAAACAAGAAAAAATCAGTTTCAACAACCTGTATCTCCGGATCGAAGCGTTTCTGGACACAATCATACTTATACATTTTTCTTAAAATTGTTTCTGGAATACGTCATCTAATTATTTTATGCATTTCATCAGGGATTCAGAGGATACCTTTATTACCTATTTTCGGGAAAAAAGATGATAAATCCCTAGGGATTCAAAGTTACTTCAAATCCCTAGGGTTTCAAAGTTACTTCAAATCCCAAGGGATTCGAATTTACACTTTTCTCCCCGAAATCTGGATCACCATAGTTACTGAGGTATAGTTGATATGGTGACAATCAGCCACTTCGATGACGTTTTAGAAATGAAATGCGTACCGTTCAAAGGCATTTGATTTTTTCGTCGTACACGTATATTGATATACGAGAAAAATCGACATTTCCTGAAACCTTTTCTTATTATTTTGAATGAAAATTTATAATTGCCACTACTTCGTCCCCACAAGTTGGCGCTTTCAAATCTTTCGTCTTCCGGAAACCATCATCAACTTTTCCAAATACATTCCATTTCTCACCTTTGGATAATTAGGTATCATATTTTTTTATTCGAATGTTTTATATAAAGAAGTTGTCATTTTCTGTAATTTTTTCATAATACTTATCCTATACCTACGAAACCATGAATTTTTGTAAACAAAATTTTCGAAAATGAAATATTCTGATAGCTGATAGCTTCTAAGATGTTAAATGATGTGGAAAAATGAAATAAAAAATCCTGGTCTGTTTAAATGATTTGATGATGGTTTCTGAAAGGAATGAGAAAGTGCCCAAGACGAAGTGTCATTCATTTCGATGAATTTCTTCAGATACCTTGAAAATAATTAATAAAAGAGGTTTCAGGAAATTTCGTTGATTTAATCGACCCTGTATTTCTTGCGGTCAATGAGATCCCAATAATGTGGCTGAACATAATGGAGAAATATACTATACAACTAATAAAGTGTGCATGGTTTCCAAATACTTTAATAATTTTGATGTTTGAATAAAATTTACAGTGTGCCTTCAAAATCCAATAAATTCACATTAACAATCATCTCCAATAAAAATCTGCACAATAATTTCGAAAACAGAAAGTTGAAAATATCCAAATGTGTCCTTGGCAGGAAAATCAGCTAATTCCAGTAACCAAACTCCGCCATCTGTCGACGAGTCTTGCCAGTCCCAATCACGCCTCGGAAAAAACCACCCACACCAAGAAACACCAAATTCCAGAACTGTTCCTCAGGTTTACTTATTCATTGTTTGTTTGGTTCGCATGTTCAAAAATGTTAGTGGTCTGATAGGCATGGTTTTCCTTTGGCTCGAATGTGAAAGCTTATCCTAGACGAGAGCGTGGGGTACCGCCATCCCCCCCACGTCGGTCACCCGCATAGGGGGGGATGACCTCCCCCGCTTCCGGGCGCCTCCCAAGAGAAGCGCTCGGGCGCCACGCCGCCCAGGCAGCTTTGGGCCGACAAGACCGAGCTCCCAGTCGCCGGGGGTCGGTTGTTGGCTGTCAGGTTTCCCGCCCTGTAACAGATAAAGCGGGTGTCAACGAATCAGGTAAAAGAGTCTTGAATTCGGAATTCTGTCTGTAGGTTAATCGGGGAAGTGGTACATTCATTATTCCAGATTTTCTTGGGATTAAAAATATGAATATCTTCTCAATATACGTGTAGTAAGGACAAATTTGATTTGTCCCAAAATGTCACTGTGTTTAAAGAATTTTCCTAGTTTCGATTAAAAAAAAAAAAGATATGACAGAGTAGAATAATATTAAAATCATTGGAAAAGAAGATAACAACCAGAAGATATACAACTAGAAGAGACAAATCAAGGAATCTGCTTGCATTCTTCTGAACGAAGACAATGGCATTGCTTCCTGTTCGGTTGATATAGATAGAACATCACTATTGTCTGAAAATGAGAATAGTAAAGTTTTTTTTTGAGTTGGCCGTTACTTGATGGAAATCCATAGCAAACGATAAGATTTCCACAAAATTCTCTCGCTAACACAGTAGATTCGTTAGGTG